GAAGGACCTAAAACCTCAGAGTTGTCATTAGGAAATCATTGCAATATAAGCACGGTAACAAACCAACCAGCTGGGACAAAGAACTGCTTCCATGACCAAAACCAAAGGCATCCCATTAGCACCAGTGGAAATAATTGTGGGAATAAAGGAAGAAAACCTGAGCTCCCTTCAAAGAGATGAAGAAGAAATGCTGAAAACTTCCTCAGTTCATCAAACCACCACCAGCCCTCTGAACATCTGAGGACATGTTGATGCTGCTTCAGACACAGAGTTCATCCAGCACCTGCAGCTCTGGAGGGCAGAGAGGATCCACCAGGAACCTCATTAACATAAATTAGTGTGACCCAATCAGATCCACCAGTGATTCCATGACCTGGTCCTTCCCAGAGCACATTTCACTGCAGATGAGAGGAAAGCCAGGCTGTCGCTTCCATTTACTGGACTGACTCTTTGCCACTGAATTAAAAGGAGACCTTTTTGACTTCACAGCAGGGATTGAAGGCAATAACCACAAAATATAAAATCCAACCCTATTTCTGAAGCAAATAAAGAACAAATAAGGCCAGGAATTCCATGTGATTTCTGAGCAGAAATTAAACAGCTGCATCTCTCCCTTCTGCCTAATGCAAGATGATTAATGAACAGATTGAAAGGATTGAGTATTTTATGTATAAATTTGGGGATTATAATAGGCAAAGATTGAACTACCATAATGGACCCTCAATCAAATTATAGCAGTTTAACAATAAATTGTGCTTTTTGGTATCTCAAGCTCCCCTCAAACTTCAGAAAGTCTCATTATCTCAAAATAAACCTTTCAAAAATCTCAGTAGAATGACAAAATGCCCAAATTCAAACACACACATTGGAAGCATACTTTTCATATAGATATTTTTTCTCATTGTTAGATTATTTCTTTTTCCAATTCAACTCCAACCTGTAATTCCATCTGCTATACATCTTCATGAACACATCTGTATTTCATTCCAGATAGACAAAATACTACACCATAAAAATAGAAATAGGTGGGAACAGGCAATAAAAATAATCAAACCAAACCAAAGAACAAGCCAGATTTGTACAGACACCAGATCAGAATGAGGAAAGAAAATGCTGTTTGCACTGAATGATTGTACCAGTTTTAGAGAGAAGACTACTCAGAAGGGGTCTTGTGAAACCCAGTCTAAATCTGTGTTTTGCAGTCCTGTCTTGTGCTTTAAGTGAAACCCAACAGCATTTTCTCCACGGAGATTTATTCATCTTTGGGTTTAATTTCCTGCTTCTTTCTTTATTTCTTTTTCCTTTCTAATATTTTTTTATTTTTAAAATATTTTTGTTTCCTAATGGAACAGCTGGATTTATGTTCAGTAATACTTCTTCTACTTGCTCTTAAAAAAAATATGTCATATTCCATTTGTGTCCAATTCTTTCTGGTCACTAATTTTTTGTTTGCTTTGACAAAGCACAAAGGAAAATGTTACATTCCCCACAGTCCAGTGGAAAGGAAATGGAGAGGATTCCCCTCATTTTACTCCCAGTATAGTGAGTTACCTGCAAATGTTTCCTAACCAAGCTAAGAATCCCAGTATTTGGGGCTTGGTGCTTTTACTTTTTTTAATAATTCCAGCCTATGGGAGTGGTGGGGGCACTGAAAAGGATTGCTCTGGACAGATGTGGGCTTTGTGTCCTCACATTTCTGGCAGAAGGATCAAGATGTGAGGCTCCTAGAAATGTTTTCCTGGGAATAAACAATTGAGAGGTCCTGTCCACCACAACAGCCCTCTCTAATGCTTCTCCCCACACCACAGACTCAGCCAGAATTTCAGTGCCAGGTGTTGGTCATGGTGTTGTTCCTGGCTCCAGGGCCCATGGACATTTTCCACCAGATAAGCACAGGGCAAAGTCTTCCTCACTTTTCCAGGAGCTCCCACATTCCTCACCCCTTCCATTGCTGGAGCACGAGGAACTGTGTGGCTCAGAATGATGCGTGTGACCAAAAAAATGAGGGTTTTTCACTTGCCAGGTTATTTGTGCTCTGACCATGGGAATTTGGCTTTAGCCCATCAAGGTGAGATATCCAAGGTGAGCCTCAAATCCTCCAATTCCAGCCATAAGGCATCCCACGTGCCTTAGCCAAGTGGTGATTTGTCCTGGGGAATTCTTTGTCTCTCTCCACTCCCACAGAAAGGACCTGGATTAGTGACTCTGGGTCAGTGGCTGCCATTAGATGGATAAGTCTTTAATGAATGTGGCCCCATGGCTCAGGGAAGTGCCACGTTCCAATTATTTCATAAAATGGACCCCCTCTTCACCCAAATGGAAAGAAATGAACATATTTTTCCTCCATCAGTCCTAAAAGCCCCTCTTTGTCTGCTCCCTCTCTGCCTCCTGCCAAATTCAGTTTGAGATCAGACAAACCAAAATTGAAAGATCAGGACTGCAAATAATTTTCTTTCAATTTTGCTGTTTGATTCCAATTGCAAACAGGCTGTATTTGGGGAAAAGAAAAAAAGTAAATTCATGTTTGACAATTCTGGTGTCTATCTCACATCTCAAAAACATCACTTCAATGGAAAAGGAACAGAAATAATAACCATTCACTCATGAACACAATATAGATTCCAGTGTACAGGAAAATAGGATCCAGACAGGATTTTACAACTAAGAAGGAAACGTTACAATAAAGATTATGACATTTTATGAATATTCGTGTTATAGCTTTGAGCTTTATTGCAAAGCAAAAAATATATATTTGTATATATATATATATATTTTTATCTACATATCACCTCTGACATTGTATACAACACTAAATCACAAGAAATCAAAGAAATCATAGTGAGGTAGATACAAAACAAAGGGATGGTGAAGAATCCAGCTGCTAAATTTGGCTTAACGCAACTGTCATTAACATCTGTATATCCACCACAGCAGTGAGCTTTGATTCACAGCTTGATCAATGGATCCTACTAACATTGATATTGATATTAGAGCCCATTTAGGAATGGTGCTGTTTGGGGAATGGGGAGGAAAATAAATCAGAAGCGTTTCCTACAAACCAGTCATCTCTGAGGGAAAATTTTCCATTGATTTTTCATGACTTTTAATGATGATAAAAAAGCTCTGAGAAATAGCCTGTGATCTAGGGGTACTGGTAGTGCCTGAGGGCAAAGAGGGAGGACTCTCCAGCAGGGAAATCTACTGGGGTTGAGCATAATCAAAAGCAAAAGAAACCATTCTCCCTTCCTTTCAGGTGACTGAGAGGAAACAGCACATCTGGGAATGCTGGAGGCTGCATCCACAAACGTGTGCTTGGGAATATCAGCTTGGACTTGTCGATGATGGCCAGCCAAGCAAGGCTTCAGCAGAAGGGCAGCCCCTGGATGGATCCTGCTGCTCTTTTCAGGCAGCAGCAGGTACGTGGCAAGAAAACTGGTACCACTGAAGTGACCGGTGCTGGTGGGACCGGTACTGGCACCTGGTGGGGTCTGGCTGCTCGCTCTGCATTCCCACAAGGAGACTTGTTAAGGCACCTGGATGACTGGGGCTCTATGGGTAATTCTCAGCACAATATCCCAGAATGGATTTGGTACAGTCTTGGGCTTTTAAATTTAGTCTGTCAACCCAGGACAACACATACCTGGTGCTTCCTTCCATGAGTGGAAAAATGAATATGAGAAGCTGTGGGTTTAATGTTAGCCAGGGGAAACCAGGCTGGATCCAAGAAAAGATTTCCAATGTGTTTCCAGCACAGGGATGGTTGGTAAAAGTTCTTTAGGCCATTGGACCACTTTCATCCATGGGGTAGCATCCATGGGGCAGCAAAAGATAGATATGGCACCCTCATATCATTCAGGAGCCATGAATTATCAGGGGTGCAAGGAGCTCTCAGTGCCTTATGTCCAACACAGACAAAAGCAAGTTGGATTTTCTGGACTAGGAAGCCCCTTTGCTGCTGCTCAAACATTTCCTAATCTTCTTGCAAAGGGAGGAAGTAACACCCTGGAAGAAGCACGATTCCCCAGCTCTCCTGCAAACAGTGGCAATGCGAGCTTTATTATTCTATCATTTACAATGTCATGGCTGGATTAGAGAAAATGAGGAGAATTGACCAGAATAAATTGCAAATGAGCAGGAGAAGCCAGTGTGACTGTTAGCAGCTCTCTGTGTGAATTGAACAAGCACTGTGAGAGAATGACCTTATCCTTTAGGAAAACACACAGAAGGTTATTGCTTGTGCATTCATTTCCAAGAGATTTTTTGGGAACCCCTACAGCAACTAGAAGATGGTTGCAGAAAGTGTGTAGCACTTAAGAAAATCAAATTCCCCCATTTCTTTAGTTTCTCCATACCTTTACTCATGTCAGGGGAATGCCTGATGTGGATGTGCCACTTTGGCAGGGGCTGCAGAGCCAAATTCCTGACTCCAGAGCTGTGTTGAAGGAGACAATTTTGAATGCTCATTAGCAAAGTACAAAATTCTCATGAGAAGCCATAGTGGAGAGTGTCTTGGAAGCATGGCAAATCCTGTCCACTTTGGATGGGATTCAGCTCACCTAAACATAAAGCCCACACAAGAGATCTGAGATAAACTGGGATGAATCCCTACCTGGAAGTCTCCCTTGAGTATGGAATGGATCTTGATAACTCATGGGATACCCAGATCTGGCTAAATTAGAGGATTGGATCTCCTTCACATAAAACCAAAGAACTTTGGACAAACCTCCTTACCTGACATAATCTGTCAAAAAATGCACCCTAGTTTTAGGCTATGGAAGCTGGAAATGGCTTTATACTTGTCCACAAAGTGAATTTCTCCTGTTCTTTCCCAAGGACACTAATAAAGATTTGGGTTCTCAAGTCACCAGAAAAGCCATTTGGAACTGAAGCATGGGTGTGCTTTTATTGGTACTCTAAAGGGTGCCTTGCTTTGCTTTGAAGAGGCTGGATGCACAGAAACGAAAAAAGTATTGCTAAGCATCTTCCATAAATTTCTTTTCCCTAACAGATTTTCTTGGTGGGTCATGGAACAAGCAGCTTTTGCAAGTTATTTCCTTTAAGAACTGGAGTGTTCTTCAGTATGAACTTAAAAGACTTTAGCTGCAGGATTACAGATTGAGTCAAACCTACTTTCTGTGTTCCTCTGCTCACTGAATTTAGCAATTAGAAAAATATCCTAAACTTTTGTCCTTAAAACTTTAGAAGAAACTGGGGCAGAGGATGACTCCACTTGGCCTCTCAGCACTGCATTTTCAGGAATGGAAATTCTGACTTTAAGTGAGCTGGGGTGGCGGGGAAATACTCTCTTTGAAAAATACTGATCTATCATGAAATTATTCATTAATAATCATTAACACAGACTAGAGATGCCGGCATCCAGCTTTTCCACTATGGTTGTTTTCAGGTAAATGTGGCTGTAACTTGAGCAGGAAGACTCACATCAAGTTCTTGGTGAGAATCCAAATGGAAAAAGATTGGCTAGAAGAAGTACCCTTGAGATCACAGAATTATGTGGACGCTTGTGGTCCCACTGATACATGGAAGAGATGCCATCTTCAAATCCATTCCCTCCATCCTCCCCACTTTTACCAACTTCAGAAAGGGCCCTTTTTGTATCCACAGCTGTTCCTCGGTCACTTGGAAGAACTTCACGGAGTTAGGTGTCCAATGAGTTGGAAATGGGATTTTATCTGTCCCACCCCAAGAAATTTGAGGTCACAGAATAATTGAACCACAGAACATCTCAAGTTGGAAGGCATCCATAAGGATCCAGATGTATGGGATAAGAGCGAATTGACAGCAGCAATCCAGGATATTGCCCTTGGCCAAACTGTGGCTGAGGAGAATCTGATAATGGGATTTGAAGAGCGTCACCACGGTGAGCCATGGCTCCCAAGGATGGGGAAGCCTTGAGTGGAAGGAAAGATAAGCACAGCCAGAAGATAAGAATGAGGTGATGAAGGAAGCAGCAGTGAGCTTCATGAACAGAAGAAAGCTGGAGGACAAGGGGCAGGTTGGTGAAGAACTCACCGTAAACTGGCCCGAATCGCCTCCCGTCAGCACGGAGAGGGAGCCTGCAGGGTGTGCCGAGGAGGACCAGGAGTGCAAAGTGCTTAAAGGCTTGGTCAGCATTGGCAACCCCTGTGTGACAGGCACAGAGAGGTGGGAGCAACGTGCTTGAAGCCACAGGGGAGCCGGTGGTGGGCGAGGGACAGGGCAGCCACCTCTGAGGGCCGCATGGTTTCCTGAGCTCATCACTGGACGACCCTGTTTCCTCACCAGCACTCTCTCCGTGGCAAACTGGGGTGGGGAAAGAAAAGTTATAAAGACTGAATCCCCTCCGCAGGAATATGCACTGTGGATAACGAGTCAATTTTCTACCTTTCACCTAAGGACAGGGGGAATTTTACCCAGTAGAGCCAGGCTATTTATTACAGCTTAAAGAACTACAAAACCTCTATTTGGGTGGTGGAGATGGGTATGATCCTGGGTTTGGATGTGTGTCTATATTATACACACCCTCATGTGAAGATAGGCTATTATATATTTCTATAATATATAATATAGTATATAATACACACACACACACACACACACACACACACACACGCACGTGAGATACTCAAACACCTGAACTCCTCTTAAGTCATGGAATCAAAAGGCTCTTCTTTGAGGGGGACACTCACTACATTTTCTATATAGACAACTTTGTACATACAAGTCGTAAAGTGCGTTAAAAAGCGCGTAAAATTTTCTATGTAGAAAACTATGTACATATAGCACACACATGTACTAAAACACTTGGAGTTAAGCCAAATTTCACCTTCATCTTCACATCCCCAATACCTACAATACAAAACTAGAATTTAAAAACAAAAAACCACAACAAACAAAAAACATAAGGAAACAAATAAAGAAAAAAATTCTAAAACCTAAGAGAGAGAAATGAATCAAGAAAGGAAACCAAATCCAAAAAACAGTCAACAGAAGCCTGGCACATGTAGAAAACATTGATTCACTTAGAGAACATAAAGAGGGTCATGTCCGAACCTCCTTTTTCTTAAAACAAAACCAAACCCCTTTTGTTTGTCTGTTTGTTAGCTCTTATTGTTTGAGAAAAGTCACAGTAGCACTCTCACCTTGAACCAGAGTTTGGAACTTTTTGTGTTTCTTTGTACAAAAGAAAAAACGGTTTAGGTTATGGAAAATAGTTGGGAAATTTGAGGTTGAAGAGAGGAGATAGAGAGAGAAACTGGAAGATTGCATAGTTGTGAACAGTGGCTTCTCATCAAGGTGAAAAAGTGCATCATCTGATAAAATAGCATTTGATTATTATTCTTTTTTGTTCGGTTCCATACTTTTTTTTCCTCAGTCAACTGTACATGTCACACATGAAAAGGTATTTACAGCACACACACATGCTAACATTAAACGTCTGACACTGAAACAGCCATTCTTTAAAGGTTCCATCAGAGTTTGTTCCATGCAAATTTGTATTCTTTTTAAATACATTTTTTGCTACATCCTAAGACCACAGACTTGTCTAAGCCCATCTCATGAAATTGTGATCATTAGCAACACAAAACGGGGAAAAGCACCAAAATGGCTCGGTTTGATCGCCAAACCTCTGCTTTGACTTCTTTCTCTTTTAATTTTCATTCCTTCATCACTGCTGGTTGTTTGCTTTTTAAAATTTTTTTCTCTTTGTTGTTGTCATTTGTTTACATTAATTTTCCAGAGATGGGAAAAAACAACTGACTTTTTTTTTTAAATTTTCTTGAGGTAAGAGTTATACTCAGAACCTGGGGCAGGCAGCAAAGCTTTCAAAAGCATTTGAGAAACGAGGTGTGAGGCCAAACACTGCCACCACAATCCTAAACTAATGATGAAACAAAACAAATACAATTGAGATGAATATTCCAGGTTTCTGTCCCAGCTAAACCTTCCACCCTCTTTCAACCCTCTGTCCTTTTCCAAAAAATCAGAAACTGAATGAAAAGGAAACAAAAACAACTTGGCACATTCCTGCTTGCACCAGCCAAACAAAAAAGACAGGTGCTGTACATTAAAAAAGATACTTCAAAAGCTTTTAATGCTTGCTGCCTGTCTCAAGTGCATTTTAATATATGTCTGATCATTTACATTTATATAGGAAAGTCATATTTGTTACACTTTATACAGGATCGCTTCATTTTTGTCCTTTTTAAACCTTTTCACTTTTTTTTTTTTTGTCTTTTCGATAATGAGTTGGTTATAACAATCTACAATAAGGCTGCACAGGAAGAATACTGTGTGATTTATTTATTTTTTTTTTTATCTCTAAGAACCAAAGTATATAAAATGAGGTTTGATTCTAGCACCTTTTACAGTATTATTGGTGTTGTTCCCTTTAGGAAAAAAATACCTTCACTCCACATCTGTTCTAGCATCTCTCTCTAGTTTCAGCAATACTTCAAAGGTAACAATAAAGGGATGATTGACCCAAACCAGCAGTCCTTTGACAAAAAAAACCTCTCCCCCCTGAAGTCAGGCAGAACTGCTCGTGTGAGCAAAGCCTTTGCCAGCTTCCCTCCTGCCTGCCAGCGAGGGCTGGGGCAGCAGCTCGCTCCGAGCAGCACGGAAAACCGAGCATCCAAAGAGGAAAAAAACCACACCAATTTGCTGGGGCAGCTGAGATGGAGAGGCTCGACAGCAGATGGTTTTCTTAGGGTGGGGGCAATAACACTGCTCTCCACAAGGTGCAGAGGATGCTGCCCTGGGATGCTCCCCTGGGATGCTGCCCCACCGACCCCATCATCCTCCTTCCATGGCAAGGGGAGACTTCCCCATCCCACGTGAGGAGGAAGATGTGGCCTGGCGGCATCCACTGGGGAGATTTGAAGAAACTTTTATAAATTTCTATGATGTTAAACAGCATCTTTCGCTGAGAGTGTTTCTGGGAGTTGGGAGGGGAGAAGGAAGCTGGGAAAAAAAAATGGGAAAGAGAAGCTCCTTGCCAAGGTTGTAATGTTTTACAGGACATTTGTTGGTTTCACTCAAGCAGTGTTAATCCTGCAGAGGAATGGTCCATTCCCCAGACAGTGGTATCAGAACCTCAATTATATATATATAATTATAACTATAACAATCTATCTATCTATCTAGCTATCTATCTATCTTTATTTATATAAGTATACATTAAAGTCTGTTACTGCACTGGCACCTAATACAGAGGAAAAGTACTGGCGTTGCTGCTGGATGCAAGTGGTTGCCTTGACTGAAGACCTGTGAAGGGTGAGCACCACAAGGAAAGGCACCACGAGGCTTTGAGAGTTGAAATGTTGCTGCCCTAACATAGCCATCATCAACAAAAATAAAGAGCTTGGTGGAGTTCATGAGGGCAGGTGGGGCCAGGCTGAATTCTGGCCTTGCTGATGACAGAAAAAACAGAGTTTTCCCAGAAAAAAATACTGGGGTTTACGCAGGGTGGCTGATGGTGAAATTGAGACCAGAGTTTGGTCTTTTAAGGGGCACATTGATTTTTGCGAGCTCTTATGTAGCACTTTGGACACTTTTTATCAGTCTTCCTAGATTCAAATGGCCTCTTTGTGCCGTGTTCAACATGCCTGCGCCGATGGGAGAAAGGCAGGATTGAACTTAAAGCACTCAGGGAATAATCTAACACAACAGAGGGCACAGCCTGCTGTGGGCGGCCTCCTGGGATGTTCTGGATGCCTTCAGCTTGCACTAAACCAGGGGAAGTCGGAGGCGCTCAGCGAGCCTGATCTCATCGCTTTGCATAGCCCTGTCCTGAATATCTCAATCTGTCACACCCCAGGAGCCCAGAGAATAAATTGTCCTGGACACAGGCAACAATTTTGATGGGTTGGCAGAAGTCCTGCCAGGCTGAGGCAGAGATGAAACCTGCACCTGTCTGGTTATTGTGGTCTTAGCCCACATTCCCTCCTTACTCAAACAATATTTATGCTGCGCTAAACTTTTATGTTGGCCCTTGCTCAGTTTCTTCTGCACATAAACTCACGCTCAAGCACGTTACCCTCCAAGATGCAGGAAACAGAGAAAGAGCTGGGAATAAGCCAGAGCACATCCTCAGAGCCCTCCAGCAAAACGTGAAGTTGCTGCAGACACTGCCCATCCCCAACGGGCTCACCGTGCGTAAGGTCATTGCTTGGTGATCGAAAAAGAAAAAGAAGAGACTTGCAGGCACTCTATGCCAAGTTAAGAGCCCAGGTTTTGCATTGTGTTGACACCTGTCAGCCCATCCCACCTGAAAATCCCGAGCTCTTCCGACAGCTGCTGACAAGCAGCCCGCCCCACTGTCGGTGGCATCGTGCCGAGTCAAGGACAACGCCAACGAGTTTGGTGGAAATTCGCTCGCTGGACAGAGAGGAGGGGCAGGACTGTCCCCAGCCACTTCTGGCCAGATCAGAGCAGGGGTTGGTGGCAACCCCGTATGACCCAAGCACCGTGTGTGTGGCTTGCTGGCAGAAGCCAAGAATGGTGTTTGGACACCACTGTGGGGGACTAATGGAGTTGACTGCGGCAGAATTTGATGTAGTTTTCCTTGATCATTCAAGTTGACTTTTGGGCATCTAATTTGGATCCCAGTCTTTCTAGAATCCCAGGAAGGCTGGCTCAGGTGCAAAAATTACCTAGGAAGAAGCCAACCTCTTCCAGATGAACTGAAAATCCTTGATCCTAACTTGGATGGATAGGCATCTTCACTTGCAAGCCACGCTGGGTCGGAACGGCACTGGAAGGACAACTTCAGATGAAGGACCTGGGTTCAGAACGGGCTGAGTTTGATTTATAAGGCAAAATCAAGGCATGGGCATGACCAAGTTTCAAGCTTAGTTAACAAAAAATGTACTTCTTACTAGGAAAGCTTAGGCCATTATTCCTGACTGATGCACCTGATCGAGAGGGTCTGGGGTGAGGAGAATTCTTCTTTGGAATTTTTTCAGCCAGACAGGATTTAGGGTGGGAGAATAAGACACAGGGATGCCTGTGGCATGAACTCTTAGGAATGCACCTGAAGATCCATGTGCTCTTTCCACCTCTGCTGTCAACAACTCCATGGCCCAACAGGACTGTGCTAAATCCTTGGTTTCTCAGTTGAGTTCCCTGGATGCTTTCCACAGGGAGTGAGGGGCATTTCAGAGGATGGAGAAAAGCGCTTCCCAAAATCTTATTGTGACAATTCAGAACAATCTGCCTGTGTCTGCTGAGCAAAATGGGGACAAAAGGAAGGTGACATGATGGATTTGTCCTGCTCTGCTGACCAGCACCATGGACCCACAACACTTTTGATGTTAAGATCTGGAAGAACATCACCGACATTATCTAGATAATCCTCTCATCACCCTTGTGAGGGAACCTTTATTCCTTCCAGTTTATAGGTGAAACATGGAACCCCCATGTTTCAAAAAAAAAAAAAAACCAAACCCCAAAGCCCCCAGGTTAAACCCTAACAACTTATTTTTACCACTTTGTAGTGGTTGTGGAATTTGTTCTCCTTGAATAAGGTTTATTTGAGGAATCAAGTGCAAGAATGTTTTCCAGGTTTTGAGTGTTAAAGGGTTCCAGTAGTGATTAGTTGAATTTCAGTGTTTATGAGAAAAGTGGCACTTCTGCAATAGAAGTATTTAAATTGTGCTATTCTCTGTGGCTGTGCCAATTTTCTGGTACAATCAAAATTCACTAATCAAAAATTCTGCTAGGATGACAGCTCATTTGAGAGGATTCTGTCGACTTTTAGGATTCCTTTCAATCACAAGAGCTTTGCAAGAAGTAGGCTTGACAAAGATCTTTAAATGCTCATTGCAGCACCTGGGGTAAACATGGCAGATATCCAGGGATGGAGGCGGCATCAGACTGACCATTCCTATATCACATGCCCTGGAAAACAGGCCAAGGGCACCAGGGAACATCTTACACCTGCCAGCAGACACAACCTTAAAATACTCTGCTTTCTCAACCAATAGCCCATGGCAGAGATGGAGAGAGAATGTGGATATTCATGCACCGTGATTTTCAAAATAAACCCAAAAATATTTGCACCACAGGAAGGGCATTTCCTTGCAATCAGAAAGGCATTCAAAACCTCCAGAATATAGAGCCTTCCTGTGATAATCCTGATTTGAGGGAAACAGCTCCACCATGGAGCATGCTGTCAGATTCCCAAAGACAGTTTACTTGTTCCGATTAGTCTGGAACAAGGAACACACAGAAAACTAGGCAAGAACCTCACCCCACCTATTATCATTTACTCTTTTCATAATGGGTGGCCACATCAGATATAGCAGAATGTCCAGACTCGGCCCAGTGACAGGAGTCACCAAAACGAGATGTGAAATAGTCCTTCCCTGAGTAAATAAAACACTTTTAAAATGAATTCCCACTCCTCACTGGGACAAAAGGCTGGAATGGTAAAAGTTTGCAGAGCAGAAACAATAGCCAGAGCCATTGTGGTTTTTTTCTGATAGGGAAATATTTTCATTGGAAACCCCCTCAAGTTTTAGGTCCGTTTTGGGAAGGGACATATTTTGTAGCTAATGGAAAACTTTGATGTTCAAAGTAAAGTCTCTTCCCTCTCACTCTCCCTACACAGAAAAGATGAGAGACAAAACGATTTGGCTGTGATACCTATTTAGACCCTCCTTCAGAAAACACGCATCACAGCTCTCCTCCAAATGACTGCAATTACATCCAATTTAATGCTTGTTTAATTGCTTGAGTCGTTTTGGGAATTCTATTGATAAGTGCAAACCAGTACACTTTCCCTACTACTTATCCATCATGAATTTGTTGGCTGATACTGAAACTTCAATGATTATTGAAAAAAAATCCCAGGTTTTTGAAAAACTGGGAATGTTGTGAAATTTAAGTAATTTGAAGGGGTTGCCTGGAGAGCACTTTGTCTGTAGTTTCTCCCACAGTGTCAGCTCACAAAATCAGAGAATACCCTGAGCTGGAAGGGACCCATAAGGATCATGGAAGTCCAACTCCTGACCCTGCATGGGATGACCCCAAGAATCACCCAGTTGAAGTCAAGAAGCTTCATTCATCTTCAGGCTGCTGAAATTCCTCCGGGCGTGTGTCCCTGTGTGTACTTGTGTGCCCTCAGAAACTGAAACCAACCCCTCAAGCGAACAGATTGCAGGTGTAATCAGCTGGCATTTGTCCTGGATTTTCCCTAGTTAGGAAGGAACAGTGTTTGGTTTTAGAGTGGAAGAAGAAGAGGAAAGGCGGGGGTGGCATGCAGGTGGCGTTCAGCTGCGGCTGAGGGGAGGAGGTTCTGGCACTGGCAGCGAGTTTTATTGGTAAATACAGCTAGAAAGGAAAATATGAGCTGCTTGTCCTTGTGACTGATGAACGGGAATGACATCTGGAGGCAAAATAATAATCATTGCCTTTGAGTGGCATTTGGCATTTGAATTTTAAGGGCTTGAAATAGATTTGGAGGGTTTACTCCCTGCAAAGGAGGGCCCCATTTGCTGTGTGTGTTGACAGGGCTGTTCTCATTGCAGTGCTGATATTGGTGAAAGGAGAAACCATCTCTTCCTCAGCTAAAGCCAGAGGCTACAAAGCCCCCATAGAGATCAGGGGTAGTCTACACTCAGATGGCTTCTCCTGGAAAGATACTCCAGCTTTTGCCCAAGTTTTGCCTGGGTTTTGACAAACTCTACAAGCTCAAGCATGAAATCTATTGTTACAGTTGAAGGAAAAGACCAATAGGGCCCTGTTTGGGCTCCCCATACCAGTAGTAATTAGTGGTTTTAGCATAGATAGTGTAAGGAGGCACCTGGCCATCAGTGGAGCTCTACTGATTTATCCTGAAGCTGTGTCTGACCCTCATGTTTGGCCAAATTTGGCTCCCAAATTTCTTAAGAATTGGAAGATAGGTGGGACAGCATTTCCTCAGGACCTTAAGCTTCTGATGGTCTTTCAATTAAAAAAAAAGAAAAAAAAACCCTACAAGGAATGTTTATTTCAACCCTGCTTGCAAATCCCAAATTGCTAGCACCTCTCACCAGGAATGACCTTCCTCATCTCAAAAAGCCCTTTGGAATTCACAATGTGTTCATATATATTAAAACATATATATACTGCTGCAGTAACATGGCATGTATGCTCACCTATATTTCCACAGGACTGGGGATATAGACTCAGACATACATGTTGATTAATCCCTTTAATCCTGAAAATTCATAGGCACCCACTTTACTTCAGGCTTAATATGTAGTAGGAAGAATTCTCTCTCTTCCTGCTGTTTTACTCTCACTGCCAAAGTGGGCTATACCAAAACAATAGGGTGCAAGCACAGCCAGGTGGTTTCCCTGTTAAACAGTGCAATTTCAGGAGAATTAAAGGGTGATTTATCAATAATGTGAACTTCTTGTCTCTTTTTTTTTAAAATATATATATATATATTATAATGCCCTCAATACCTTATAGGCTATATCCTATTTAATTCCACGAGGTGGGCGACAACGAGCTTTGAAAGCAGTCTGCACCTACATCTTTTTACTCTACCAGATACACATGAGACTTTAATTGCTTTCAAAACCACACTTGCCCTCTCTCAGCCCTCTCAGTCCATCCCTGTTCAAGACACAGATGTATGGTGCTTTTTAGGACAAAGAGGGAATATTCATTTGTTGGCCAGCATTTGGTTGGGTCAAACAAAACAGTTAGCATAGCACCGAAGGAGTTACATTGGTGTTTTTTCCCAACGTCAATCTTTTTTTTTTTTTTTTTTTTTTTTTTTGAACAGAAGAAGTAAAAAGAACCCAGATGCACCAAGCTGAGTACTTAAAACAGGGCAAAGAAACAGCTGGGGAGAAGGATGGGGAAGAAGCAGACCCAAAGCCGATGCGGATGAGCGATGGCCCATCTGTAGGAGTGGGGCTTCTAAACTTACTCTGCCCCAGCAGGAAGATGTGCAGCTGCCTGGAAATTCAGGTGGAAGAGCCTGGCCCCTGTAGCCAGATGATTTTGAGCTCCCTCCCCATGGTGGGTACAGGGAAGGGACAGGGAAGGTATGTGGCAGACCAAGCCAGAGCTTCCTTCTTGCTTCGTGCAAGGCAAGTTTTAGGCTACAGAAGACAATGGCCACCTGAAACACCTCCCAGTGATTCCAAACAGACCAGACTCCACAGTCCTTACTCAGGACAGAAAAGGAGATCCAGCAATAAAACCCAGGGGTTTTGCCTGAGTAAGGAGTGCGTGAGCAGACTTCACAAAGCTTCTCCAAAAGGGAGCAGGGAGTCCTGCCTGGCATTGCATTCCCACAAGAGACATCATACAATGGTCAGGACACTTAGACAGTAAAAAGACAAAAAACCCCTAAACCCCAGGCTTTCTGTCACATGTTTTTCCCTTCTGAATCATCTGACCAGTGGTGACATTTGGAGCGATGAACTGGATCCCTTCCCTTGTTCTAAAGAAAGTTATCCTGGCTTTCACCCACGTGGCTTGAGGCTCAACCAGGGATGAATCTACCTCGATGGACACAGAACCATCAGCCAAAACTCCCACAGGTGGCAAGGGAAGTTTTGCCTGCAGGAGGACTTTGAAGGCAGCTTGGTCTGGTCTCTCTAGGTGTGGCACAGGTTTTTTCTCCAGGAAAGCAGGGACTTCGGGAAGAGTTGCATGGGAGCAGCGTTGGGTCTATTTTATCCTTTCACATCCCACCTTCGCCCTTTGTGTAAGGAAAAAATTCAAAAACAAAACAAAACAAAAAAGCTACTGTACAACCAAGTAAACTGCAATTATTGTGCTGTCTTAGGCAGTCAACGAACTTAAAAGGCAAAAACAGAAAGAAAAAAAAATATTTTTTCACATTTATCAGTTGAGACACTAGTTTTCCCATGCCTACAAGAGTCCTCAGCAATACCAGCCTCCCAAATAAGGTCCAGGCTATTCCAAAACAGCGTGAGCAAATTTTTCACTGTATTCAGATGGAAGCTGATGACTGAAAGATTACTGCACATTTAACCGTGGCTGATGAGAGCAACTTTTAAAGAAATTCAAGTATTCATCAGTAATCTGTTAGGTTCAGAAATACTTTTTTCATCTTTAGTTTCAAGTTTTCAGAAACAGCAAGGAAAAGGGAAAGGTCACCTGTTGTGTAAGAAAATAATATTGCAAATAGTGCTGTTACATTTGACCAGGAAAGCAAGGCTGTTCAGTTGGTGCACAACAATTTTCTCCGTTCCTTGCTTTTGGGGAGAGAAAAGACTTCAAATCACTTTCTCAAGACATGCACCAGCAGGTTTTCCTTCTGCATGTTGTAACCCACCCCTTCAGTGCTCATCCCCTACAACAGCACAAACCCATCAGGAATGAAATTTTCACGGCGCACTTCCAGCACCTCTCACACGCATTAACTTAAGCCTCACAACACCCCTGTGAGGTAGGTAAATATTATTATACCCATGTACAGATGGGTAAACTGTAGGCACAGAAAGGTTAAATCACTTGCCCAAGGTTACACAGCAACTTCGTGGCAGAGCTGGGGTCGAAACCCAGGAGTACTGTCACCCAAAAATCTGCAATGACTTTTAGACCATGGCCACTTTCTACGCTCTCTGTAAGAGACCATCTGACAAACACAGCATTGCACAAATCCAATTAACTCCGCGGATTACAAAGTGCCTGGCTTTCAAACAGTTTCCTTGCTGCATGTGTCCCAAAGGAATGGGGAGGGCACAGGAAGGTTTCTGCTCTCACATAATTTTTTTCCGTTTGCAGGGCTTGGTTGTGGTTTTGTTTTGTTTTTAGGTTTTTAATATACGACAGGAAAAGGTATCCACATTATTTTATCAACAACATCACTTTCCAATTGGGTTTTGTGCATGTCTGAATGTACATTGAGGTCCAGATGGTTTATGCAGATTTATTTTAATAGTCACCAGTTGCCTCCCTCCTCATCAGCAGAGAGCCAATGGAACATATGCAGCGATCTGACATCTCATTTTCCCATTTTTCTCATTATCCCACTGTCTGAGCTTCAAATAAGGAGCAAAGGTTGAACACAGGCAGTACCCAGCACAGCAGGAAAGCTCCTCCCTTTTTTCACATCACACCTCGACAGGAAAGAGTCACTACACCATTATTCCCAAGTTCAAACACAACAGAACAATGAAGCGATTCCGGACATGCTCATGGAGAATTAAGTGGATTGCAACAATCTCTAGTGGTACCCAAAGGTCTGGAAATGTGTTCTGCACACAGTGAAAGGTTTGCCCACGTCTATTTGGGATAGCCTCAAATCTTCTCGTTCAAACCAGGCTGAGATTCTCTGCACCAGAATACACCTGAGCTCCAAGGAAAAATAAAACCAGCAATCATAACCCTGGGAAAGCACCATTCCCAAAGCCCCCAGGGCTTGAGACAACTGCCAAAAGAACAGCATGCAAGCTTCAACAAGCAAAGGGTCCACAACGGAGTTCACATCATCCCTACCGTCCTACACCAGCCACCTCAGCTTCTGTGGGGATTGGCATAGACCTTATTTTGTCATGGTCATTTGGGTTTTTGTTTTCTGGTGGGTTTTCTTTTGCAGGACCACATTCGATCTGAGCAGAACCCAGAGAAAAGCAAACCCAGTAAAAGAAGGAAAAATCCTAGGAAAGCCTGTCTCCACAAATTTCCACTGACTCCGGCAGCTTCCAAATTGTCTCCTGCCCAAGCTGCCCAGCAAGCAGGCACTAAAAGGTTTTGCAAATGCACAGTAGTAAGTTTTCCTTTTCAAAGCACCTCTGAGCTTCAATGAAATCATGCTGGACTAACCTCAGACCACATTTTCTTCAGGAGGTTTAGTCATGCTGCAGGTGTGCAGGTGACAGGTGTGACATGCAGGGCCAGGGGTGGGATAAATTGTGAAGTGAATCTTGTGGGTACAAAAATATATCTGAAGAGCACAGGGTGATTGCACTCTGAAAGTCAATAGTGATGCTCCTCGCATGAGCCAGATTTTAGCAGACAATTCACTAAAGCTTGGAATTAATTTTGCCATTTCAGCTAGTCAGCTTTAAATAAAAATACATGCAAATGACTGCTGACTTTTGGCAGGTGCACAAAAGGATGGGGTGAAGCAGAGAAGTAGCTCCAATCCCAAACAATGAAAATATATATATTTACACTTGAAATGGGTGTCTCACTTGCACTTTAGTCTGGTAATTATTCACCATTGGCTCCTCTTCTACAGTTCAGGTTGGATTTGCTGCAGATGAAAAATGCTTCGTGTGGGTGGCAAAGCATGACAAGGGCATGGGCAGGGACCTTGTAATTCCTGTGTTTCCACTGTTGATTTGGTCTGGTCTGAATGATTCCTGTCTCTGAATTAGCTGCCTATGGATGTGTAACACTATCACAGTAAACATGCCATCCATCTGACATGGATGGAGGGATGGATGAGTTGACATCCGAGCCATAAAAGTGATGCAGTTTGCAAAACAGCCTCAGCAGAAGGAACAAAGTGAACTGAAAAATAACTTGTCCATTGAATCAGGCAGAAAACAGAAAAATGCCAGATCGGAGCTGACGTAGTCCACCACATCCTGCATCCTGGTCTGTGGCACAGAGTTACATCTTTATCAGAAAATTAAACAACTCCAGGATCCATTCTGGCACGAAGCCAACTGAGTAGTGCTGGCCCCATCCTGATTCTGAAAATCTTCCACCCCTGATATGGAGCAGCTGCATCCAAACTGCCGACTGGGGATGGTCTCTGGCCAGTGCCAAAGCCTGGGCAAGCTGTGCCTGAGCCCAGGGCTCCTTGGAGTGGATCAAAACCATGCCAGGGAAGGTTTGAATAATAACAGTCAGGATGGTGGAGCCCTCGTGCCTCAGCATTGCCCTGGCATGGCACAGTTGGCTGGTTTAGATGATCCCAGGGTGAATCCAGCACCACAATTATGCCAGAGAACTTGCCCACTGACCTTGTGATGTGAATAGATACAGGTTCAACATTCTCCATGGCAGTTTGAAAAGTTCCTCATGCAGTATCTTCTGGCCAGAAGGTGGGAAATGGTATAAAACAGGTACTAGGGAAAAGCTGAGGAGTTAAAATCAAAGTGAAACCAAAACAAGTTGGTGACCATCCTGCAAAAGTACGCACCAAAAAATCAAAGGGCAAAAAAATAAAACAGGAGGAGAGGATGAGATTCTTAGCACTGGGATTAGTACCAATAAAGGGCTGGGGCAGTTTTCCACCCTGAGCTTTTGGCTTGGCAAAAGGCGCTGTTTGGCAACAAGATCACAGGTAATCCCAAAAGGAAACGGTCACCACCCCAAACTGTCCACCAGGAACATGTTCGGAGTAGTGGCAGAGCACGTGCTTTATGTTAAGGCTGTAATGAAGTCCTGGAAAAAGAAACAGTTCTTCAGGGATGACACAGGCTCTCCCTGGAAATCCTTTGCTAAATGAAGATGCTGATGAATATCATTCAAAGAAAGGAGAAGCAGAGGCAGAAAGTTTATGCAAGTAATGAAACAGTCTTAACTCGCAGTGGAGGCACCTGCCTTTGTTGTTATCCACACTACGAGCCACGAAGGAGGAGGACTTTGGAACAGGGATTTGTCAAGCCCTTGGTTAAGCTGGTTTGGTTGTGAGAAGTTAGCACTGCATTGAGAAGTAAGGACACTTCCAGAGTGTTTTGCCCCTCCACTCCTGGCACAGAGTGGAGGCGACGGCTGTTGGTGTGGTGGTGTGGAGTAAGATCCCGTTCCTGAGGGAAGGCAGGCTGGAGTTGCTCATGAGAGGCAACACTGAAGGGTCTCCTCCTCCTGGCACCTGGTGACTGTGCCTTGGCTCATTGTCACTGTCCTGGTGGGAAGGGTCCAGCTGTTCAATGGTGTCAGTGATCAGCACCACATTTCCAGACCTCAAGGTTGACGAGTCTGGGGAGCAGGACCTTCTTAGGGTGCTTTTGAAAACAAGAATGCCACCTCCTGGAAAAATGGTCCCTGAGGAACAGCAGGGCTGTTTGTCATCCATTCCTTTCTCATGCTTTTGCCACGGAAATGCAGATGTGAGGACAGCTCTTCATGCAAGGACCAAGGGGAGCCTTTACATGGGGAATTAGATCAAGATAAGTCTACACTAACATTAAAGGCAAGTCAAAAGAAAGTTCTGGAAGGAGAAATGCAGGCCTGCAGCTGGAGGATGGGCATCTCTGTGTTCTCAAGACTCAGCAGGTGGGGACAGCGCGTTCACTTCACAAATTACCTCTTTTTATGGAGACAGCACACTGATCAGGGGAAAAACAGGGTGAAATGTTAGTAGAACACTTGAGAAGGGACTGGCTGTGGGGCACAGAAAATGGAGAAGGAAAATGAAAGCTTTTCACAAATATATATCAGTTCATGTATATATACATATATATATATATATGTATTTATGTGCACAGCAAACAAGGGACTGGTGAGTTAGACAGAGGATGACAAGACCAAACCCCTCCCTTTGCATGAAAATGTGACCATCACATTGGTTGTAATCAGAGCCCAGAAACATCTGCCTGAAATGGAGTTTGACTGGGAATTACAGTACCACTGACAATTTGGCTTTGTATAAACTTTGCCATGTGTCTATAGTTTGGCGTGAAGGAGTCCTGCCCTCCTTGAAAGGAACAGACACCAGTTGAAAGTTTCCTTTACAAAACAAAATGAAACAACTGAAGAAACCCCAACATTTTCTCAGAACACTGCAAAGGATCACTGATTGAAAAAAATGTTTCTCTTCAGGTATATTCAGGCGAAGAAAGCATTCAGCTTCTTTAAACTGTTATATAAAATTGGTACTAGTTTCTTTAAATACTATCATAATTAAAAAAACCAACTGATTCTTGAAATTAAAAAAAAAATAATAATCATAATTAAAAAATATCCCTCCATGCTGATCTTCTCTTCAGAATAGGTCAGCATGGGAGTTTTGCACCCTAGACAGTTACAGTATTTCTGGAATAAAAAATTGCAATTACACACAGAAAATACTACAGCATTCACTTAAAAATATCTCATTTGTTGTTGTTGTTTTTCCCCTCCCAAGTAGAGGGATGGTGGGATTGAAAAGATGCCCTGAAACGGGAATATTCCTTTAAAGGAGCAATACTCTCGAAACGGAAAAAGGGTGTCAGATAGACGCAAACCTGGTGATTTAACTCGAAAAAAACCCCAAGATATTCCAGCACAGAAACAGAATCCGAGAGAGATGAGAATGTTCAGACACCGAGTGGGTTATTTGGAAATGTCAAGACAACCCCACAGCCCTCGGCGGGACCGTCTGGGCTTTGCCAGCATTGGAGGTGGCAGCATCTCCTGGCGGTGGAAGGCTAAGCTAAACCACGGCGCTCTCGCTACGCTCTTGGGTTTCCTCTGGTTGTTGTTTCTCGCCATGTACTTACAGTAGAGGGTGACACGAGACAGTTTTTATCAGCAGTTCCCCACATGTAACCGAGTCGAAGAATTTTCTCAGCTAAATCACAACAACAACATCAACAGAAATACAAAGCACCAAATCATCTCGAGACGTGAGTCAGTTTTACAGGTTATTACCGTTTGAAGAAGTTTTGTTGGTTGTTTTGTTGTTGTTTGTTTTTTGTGTTTTTGTGTTTTTTTTTAATCCCGACTTTTCATGTTTTGTTTTCCTTAAAAACAAAACAGAAACAAAACAAAAAATCAAAACCCAAAAATCCCCAAAATGGAACAAAGGATGCTTTACAATCACTTTAAGGCTCGCACTGAATGAGACATGACAGGTCTTACACGAGATTACAAATAATACATGTATGCCTTTCACAGCCTTAAAATGATACAGTAGGTCAAATTATTTTGCCAGTCACTGATCAAGTATTGTGCCTTTAAATTGACTCGCTTTTTGCTACCATGCTGAGTTTTATTATTACTGAAATAATTATTAGATATGTGGAAATGTACTTTCAGATCATGTTTTTTGTTTATAATTTTGATAATTTTGCATTTTCCAGAAATCAAGGTGGCAGGCCTTATTCTGGGCTCAGACTGTTGGTGTTTGCTCCACTGGAGACAGTGGGGCTTTAGCACAAGCAGTTGTTGGGAACAAGATCAGATCCTATATTTTCACACTGATCTGGTACAATCCCACCTTTGTACAGGGTCCATTTCCACGAGGAAAATGGTTCCAGGGTGGGGTCACATTTATAACACGACTCGGTCAAGGCTTGGCCCAATGGTGTTATAAATTCCTTGACAAATTATCTTACAGACCTGATTTTGTCTTTCAGCTGTTGGAAAAATCAAACTCCATTGGGGTTGTCTTGGCTTTGCTTTCTTATCTTTTCTTTCTTATCTTTAGACATTTGGAGGGTTTTTTCTACTAAATCCAATATGAACAACAGGATATATTTTTTCATACACTTCTATCTTTTTGTTGTTGTTGTTAATTATTATTTTTTTAATTTTAAGGTTTGCATTTCAGTTGGATGGTTGGTTTTTCTTTTGTTCTTTTTTTTTGTTTTTTTTTTTTTGTTGTTTTTTTTCCTGGCATATAATCATCAAAGACTTTTGCATGAGAAAGGTGACAGTACTTAATGAAACTCAGCACCTAAGGGCATAAGGCAGTTGTAGGTTTGTTTGTATGTTTTTTTTTTTTATTTTTCAATCAGCACCAATCCCATAAATAATGTTCTACACTTGGTGTACGGTATAAAACTGATGTGGAGATGCCTCCTTCTCCACCTGTGAATCCTAGGTGTGGAAGTTGAAATACTGTTTCTTGTGTGTAAAAAACAAAAGAAAAGTTTTTCTTTTTGTTTTTACTTACAAAACATAGAGAATATCTTTTTTTTTTTTATACATACAGCAACCAGAAAGAAAGCTTATCTGAAGGTTTGTGTTTGTTTCATGATCTGTGTTTACCGTAAACAAAAATAAGGTCCCCTCTTTTACTTTTGCTTTAAGGAGCTTTAAAGTGAAGATTCATATTGTAGCAACTCATATAAGAGAGGTCCATCTCTATACCTAATACCTACAGCTGTGGGGGTGACATATTGGAGGATGTTGATAGTTCTTCTTAACCTCCTGTCTACAAAATGAGCATCCCAGGCAGGATATCTTTTTCTTGGGATGTCAATCTTAATGAGAGGCCCCTCGGGGGGGTAGGGTCGCCCAGATGGAGTAGATGGTACCATTGCTCTCACCTGGAAAACGGGCAAGCAAGTGTCAGCTGTGAGTTCCTCCTGTTGCTCCGTGACCGCTCTGGTGGGCGTAGCCTGGGCCCCCCGGTACCCAGGGGTTTGGGGCGCCATGGGCTCAACATCGGGGGGCAAAGGAATGCCCCAGAGCAGCTCGGCGCAACAGGAGCTGGCAAAGATCTTAGCTCTTGGCCCCATGGGATGCAGCACACCATAATATAACAGCATCAAAGCTATCCCAGCAGCAAAGCTAAGAAAGACACAACACAGTGCTGGCACGGCATAGGAGTCAGTGGTGTCAGGATCTCTGTAAAAATACCAAAGGAGCGTCAAGGCAGCGTTCTCCGTCAGGACCACCGTGTAATATGCAAACATTCGGTATCGAGTCCGCCCTTCCTTCACATTAAACCAGCAGAAAATGTACACAATCCCTACCACCATGTTGAAGAGGATCTCCTCCCACTTAGACATGCAGAAATCTGTCCCACCATGGATGATCCAGAAAGCCATGGCACACCAATGGACCACTACAAAGATCCCAAAGTAGAGCTGGAAGATGGAAGCAAAGAGAGCAAAAGAAATAACTCGGGATGAGATGGTGAAGAGGCGCCAGAAGAGATGGATGAGGGCCCCTCTGTAGCTCATACTCTTCTTGTCGTCCCTAGAGTCCCGAAGAAGCTTGTGATAGGAGGCTAGCACCCAAGCCAGGGACATCAGGGAGGCCACAGAGGACACACCTGCCGGAAGACACACAGATCCACTGAGTTAGACAGGAGCTTTGGTGGAAAACATCATCTGCTCACTAAATTATTGCATCTGGGGCAGGCTCAGGAGCCTGAAGGTTCAACTCACGTCAGGTTGTCCTTACAGTCTGGAGGAGAGAAATACAGAAATATCAGTGTAGGAATTGGAAATGGTGCCATATTCAGGAGTTCTCTGACTCCTTGTCCTTATCTTCCTGAGCCGCTGGATCGGCTGCCCCACCCTGGCGGTTCCAGTAGGGAACAGCCTCTGTGCTCATCCTGACTGGATCCACATTCGAGAGTTTGATATCCAGATCCCATCTAAATGCTGAAGCCCAAGTGTGAAAGTTACTTTCTTGGAGAGCGGAATCTCTCTTGGAATACACCACGGCAAGAGCAGGACACCTGTATTCCCTGCAACTGCTTGGATTCTTTTTTATTCTAAAACACTTTTTAAAAGCAACATTCCTATTGATCCTCCCTTACTCAGGAATCCCCATTTGCATTTCCCTTTTGGAAAAACCAGGTTTTTGCCCTGTGCAGATAAACATATAAATCCAGGGAGCATCAAGACTCATCAATACTCTTGAAAGAGTCCCAAAAAAAGAATCTGATCTCTCCAGCAAATCCCTGCCTTGTTTCTGGGAGGGACTGGGGGTAGCTCTTCTCCAGTCTTGCCTCCTGGCTAGAGCACAAATCCAAGTCACAGTCATGTCAGGGAGGGCACAGCCTGCACTGAGGTCACCTTCAGCTCCCAACACATTTCCCTGCACCCTCACATGGGTGATATTGATATTCCATGATATTCCAAAGGGACCTGGTCTTATTCTCCATCCCAATACTTAAACAATTTATTTCCTCCAGAAGATAAAATAGTGGCCACACCACTCTTGAGAGGCTTTTAAAAATATAATTCCATTGATTATTGCAAGGGTAGATTGAACAACTCCTGGAGCAAAGCATCACAATAAAAATTAATTGACAGATTCCTGGGAAAAGAAAGAGCTGCTGGCATCTTATTCCTTTTCCTCCACTTTTGCTCACTGGACAACTGTTCTGCAGGTGAGGAAACAGATGATGGACTAAAATCCATATTTGGGAAGCTCAGTAATTTGGTAGTCATGGTTGGATTGGACCTTAGCCAAAGATTTATTTGGGAACATTACCTTTAAAGTCCAAAGGAAAAACTGCTAAGTTCCAAGCAAAACAATGAGAAGTGCCCCTCCATCTCTGAAGTGTAACTGAGGGACAGGTCCAGATCTTATTTGGCTTTTACTTCTTTAAGAAAATCCAAGGAGCATCTTGCTGCAGCTGCTCAGAGTTAAAAAGCTAAAATGCCTGAAAAATCTAAATTTCTTCTTCTCCTCTTTTCTCTCTTCTCACAGGGGCCTGGCTTCCATGGTTATGCAAACAAGGTCCACTGACATCTCAGACTGCACTCTATAGAATTTATCATGGTTTTGAGGAGCCCACCCCACAGTGTGGCAGGGTTAGATTTCCCTCCTTCCAGGAGAGATGATGGAGAAAAAGGCCAGGAAGGATGGCAGACTCCAACTCTGCCCTCGTTGGAGTTCCCACAGCCTGCAAAGTCCACCAAAACTACACCTTTTCATCACCTCCCAAGTTTCCCTCTGAATCCCTTGTCTTTGGGCTCAAATATGCATTTGAATTTCAGTCTGAACTTTAAAATACAACAAACAGCAAAGCAGTGAGAGCAGTGGCCTTATCCAAGAGGGAAGCTTTAAGCCACCAGCTTTAAGAAAATCACTATTTCCACCGAGTTCTAAGTCCTCACTAAGAAACACATAGGACATAGGACTTGGGGATTCCAACCAAAGACTCACAGAATGGTTGGAGTTGGAAGGAAGCCCTGGAGATCATCCAATCACTCTGCCAAGGTAAGATCACCTGGAGTGGGTGGCACAGGAACACATCCAGGTGGGTTTGGAATGTCTCCAGAGGGAACTCCATGCTCTCCCTGGGCAGCTGTTCCAGTGCTCTGCCACCCTCAGTGTAAAGAAGTTCTTTCTCAGGTTGAGGTGGAACTCCTTGTGGTTTATTTTATGGCCACTGCTTCTCATCCTGTCACTGGGCACCTCTGAAAAGAGTCTGGCACCATCCTCTGTCACCCCTTGGAGATATTTATATGGATTATTGAGATCCCCTCTCAGTCTTCTCCAGACTGAATAGGCCCAGCTCCCTCAGTCTCTCCCCATAATGGATGCAAACCTCTAAATATTAACAGCCTCATACTCAAGCAGATGTAGATTAGACTCATTTTTAACCTACAAGATGAGTTACATTTTTGTTAGACTTTATTAACAGTTTTGGAAGGATGAGTCATGCCACAAAGTTTTGTTATGTGTATAAGTAGTGTTTGTTGCACTACCTCTTGGCTATTCAGTTTAAAAACTTTCCATGATTAGCAGGGAAAAAATATGTCATTTATTGCCTTATTTTAGTGCTGTTTTACTAGAAACTTGTACAGCACTAGCTGTACCTTCACAGAGAAACTCAAGCAGCACCAACCCACAGGAGACAGATGTGTCACCCTGGATTAAAAATGTTTCTATTGGGCTCATTTATTCTAGAAAGGAGAAGGGAATAAAACACACCCAAAACAATCCCCCAGTTTGCACATAAAGGCTTTACCTAATGTTTTCAGGGCAGAACCCTCCACTAATCACAGCCTTTGCTGTAAATTGTGCGTGTGTTGAGTCACTCGCACGGCACCCGGGCTGCTGACAGTCATCTGAACGTCTCCTCCAGCCAGCAGAGAGAGGCAGACACCCCCAGAAAGTGATTCAGCCTGTCCTGACATCCGTGTGTGGGACAGGGAGGGGTTGACTCATGCTCCCAAGGTGTCTGACTCCATCCCCTGCCAGGGGACGTGAGAGCACCGGCAGTCAGGCAGGATGATCCCCCTGTACAGAACAGCTCATTGTCTCTTCATCTGCACCAAGATCTGAGGGAGGCAATGAAGGATCTCTGGGCATTTTGACATATTTTTGCTGTTGCTTAAAAGTTCACAAATGGTGTGTTGAATGTGAATTTTGGCACGCTGGTGATGAGCAGGATCTGGACCTGGGTGTGAGGGGGGAGATCTGTAGGTGGGTATCAGCAGAAACTGTGGAGCAATGTAAAGACTTTTACATCACTCTTACTTCCTGCCACAGAAATTATTCCCTAGCTCTTTCACACAGACCTAAATGACACAGCACCTTTGTCATCTTGACCATAAGTTTTGCATTCCCAATTTCCCTGTGACTTCTAACCCATGACATCTTCATAGAGTTTACAATTCTCACAGACTGTGAGATAAACTGTCCCTGTTTTTCCTCTCAACTTCTCCAAATCTTATTTCTAAGCAACTCTAGGTCTCTTCAATTATAACTAAAACAAAAAGTCCTGAAAAGTTGGATCACATGAGCACTAATTTTTTATTTTGATTCTGACTCTTGCACGTGGTAACTGACGCACCTTCGTGGAGCACGAGTAGGTTTCAATTCCCTTCCAATGTTTGTTTATCAAAGGGATGAGGTTGAGTAAACACTGAAGTAATTTCAAAAAAAACTCACTCTCACTCTTCCCACTCTGTTCTCAGTCTTGGGGGTGGAACATCCCCACCATGCACAACGACATCTCTGCAGGCATTCTCGAGCCAGGAGAAAATCAGCTCCTGTGGGGCTGGAAGCCTTGTGGCTGCAGTCCTGGGATCTGCATCCCACCTACCCACAACAAGTCAGACTAGCACACACTGGGCTTCTCTTCAAACCTCTCTGCCCTAGGAAGCCATGAGTGACACATGCCAGAGCCATGAGTGACACATGCCAAAGCCATGAGTGACACAAGCCAAAGTCAGCACCGTCACGGAATCAAGTCCCTGTGTCTTGAATGACACAGCACAAGAAATAATTCCCCAGATTCCTTTAGGGATGAACACTCAAGTCTTTGCAGTGAGACATCTGCTCACCTACATTCAACATGAGGAGGCAGAGCTCCATAATGTCCAGTTTGACAGATGAAGCACCAAGATTTGAAGGATTTACCCAAGATCTCATTTAAAATCCAAGCTAAAGCAGGGAATAGTTCTCCTTCAAATCACAGTGTGCTTGACAAGACATTTCAGACAGGATTCAGCTCTTACTGTAGAGAGTCACCCCAGGGTGTCCATGGTTAAATGATATCTCTTTGCTCAAAGGAGGATCAAAGCTTATTGCAACCATCACAGGTGGGAATCTAGCAATGTTTGAGATGCTATAGGATATTCCAGACCACCACGTGGAGCTGGCAGATGTGACAAACTTGCATGGAGACAACAAGAACATTCCTGAACTGGGAGCTAGAGTGAAGGAAGACACTCAGGGCCTTCCAACTAACACCAGCTGAGACTCAAAAAAATTCTGCCTTTCTCAGGGGAGCTCATGATCACCCTTAAATGATAAACACATGTGGCACAGAGGCTGTGCAACAGGAAATGGCACAGAGAGATGAGAAAGCAGTGGGAAATAAGGCAGGTCTATAACAGTTAAATTTCTGAGAATGTCAGACCAAGGAATAGATTCTCTGAGAAAGGGAAACAAGAGCTGTTGGTTTGGATCATGAAAACATGAGTGGACTTGAGTACAATGCAGACAGTGATCTGATACCAGAGGAGAGGAGCCTGAAACACTCTGAGTGCAAGGGAAACTGCAGAAGCTCACGGGAACACTCTGAATTTCATCCTGGTTTGGTTTTCTTCCTCTGGTTCCTAATCATAGTCCAGAAAAAGAAAAAGTCATATCAGATGTGTAAAAAGGCTCTTTGTGAAAAAAAAAAAAAAAAAACAAAAACCAAAAAACTGACATGAAAGAATCAAAGCAATGACTCCCCTGAAATTGCCATTGCTGCTTTTAAAGCCTGGGAACAAAAACAGTGCAGGGAAAGCCATCCCTGTTTATCTGGCCTATTCCTGCTATGCAGGGTTGTACAACCACTCTAATAAAAAAAAATCA